GAAACGCTTGAGAATTGCTGATTTTCCAACTGAAACAAACATTGGCCTGGTGCTTATGGGGAAAGATACTATTACCTGAAGAATCTCCAACAACAACTACTTTGACATCAATGGCATCAGAAGCAGCCATCCAAATTCAGAAATCAAGCAGCGATAGCGCGATGTAATGCTATTTCTCTGAAATATACGAATATTAATTCACATTGCACAACTGTACTTTTGAAATTGTAATTTTGAATTGCGAAACAATGATGCCGTTTTTATGCTGAATGTTTACGTGATATTTTCAAAAATTTCGAATTACTATTGAGGATGGAGATGTGCTTACGGAGTATTTGCGTGCAACATATTTACTTATCTTCTAACACTGGCATGGTGTCAGTATAAGTACATTGGTTTTTGTCCTATAATTTCACATAGATTCTTTTATCGGCATGGGTTGCGCCTTCACACATAATCAAAGCTCAGCATTCAGGAAAAACAGAAATAACCTTTTGAACTATGCAAAGTCGTTAGTTTTTGAACTCTGAAAATGAAAAGATTTTCTGCGAATAAATTATCAAATTCCTATTTTTAAATTTATGTTTAAATCATAGTAGATGCACTAAACCTTGGAACGGTGAGGTATTTCACATCTACCACAGTGGTTTGCCGCGGCAAATGCTTTTTTAAAAATAAAACCTTTCTAATTGAACTAGAAGAGAAGCTATGACATTTAGAAAATCTAATTTACAAACTAAGGTAAATAAGTAAAATAATCTGATCAGAACCTGAGGCGAGCCGACGTATACACAACAGCCATCATTGATTATATGCCTCGATGACAAATTGTAAGACACGGAGGACATTATTCAGAATAGGACGAAGGAAGAGAACACACTACCCTGTCATTTACGAAAGAACCATAAAAGTGTAGGTGAAAGACGCCAAAACAACTAAAAGAGCACAAGGACTGTATAGTGGAGAAAAACGAGGTGAAAAAACGGCTAGCAGCAAAAAACCATGCCATCAAAA